GTCAATCACCTATGACCGTGGGTAAGCATGGGAGAGTGGAAGGGGGGGGCGGTAAAGATCAACTTGAAGATCGAAAGCTTACTCTTCAGACTCAGCTCTGCTTTAGTTACAACGGTTCGGGGTACTTCACGGAGAACACCACTGGCTACTCCTATCCGGCGGATGATCTCTTATATTTTCCATCACCGGTGAAGATCTCGAGGTGCTTGATTTTTTCCATCTGTCCATATATCGCATCTTAATTTCCAAAAAATATTTGTGGTGCAGACTAAACATCTATATCCTATCGTTGCGTGACTGTCTCCAGTTTACTGGTCCAATAATAAAAATGATTAAGTTTCAACCTGACTTAGCTTACACTAATCGAATTTCCAAATTAATTCCAACGTAAACTACGATGCTTTGTAGAAATTATATGAGTGACTTTGAATGCGGTTATATACTTATGTATATTTTTTGCCGAAATTCACGCTGTGTAAAATTTTATTATGAGAAGAGTTCACGTAAATTTTATAAGGAACATGAAAATAAAAAGTCAAGTTTCTGAACGTGATCATTTTACAGTCTTAAACGCTTGCCCCTCGCTAGGACTTCCGCCAAAAGATGTTTCTTAACTATCCACTTTAATGGATAATAAACAGTGAGACAGACTGCCCACAACATTTAAATCTGCAACATTTTAAAGTGGTGGATTGATGTGTACCACTATGCAGATATTAAGAACATAGTATCGTATGTAGTGGCAGTTGCCTGTGCAAACAATTTCATATTCTTCCGTAGACGTCTAGCCGAATGAAAGCAAATTCGACCTCGTTCCAAAATTCGTTGAGGCATTACATAATTAGTACCAACATAGCAATCAGAGAATAAAGAGGAAGTACAGTGCCAAAATTAACAGGGAAAAGGGAACGTTTATCCGTTATATTCAAGTCAGTCCGTTATTTATTTGGACCCCTTAAATCCATGACGTAAATAAATAGGCACGCTGCATGATAAGGATGGAAAAATACGCTTCATGGTTATGCTACGCTATCATGCTATGATAATACGCTACCATTCATGATAATACGCTGCCATGCTATGGGCATTACCTCGGGGTACAAACATGGCGAGTAGAAAATGGTTTGTAAGAGTTCAGCTCCGCAGCATGAATTAAAAATCTAAAAAAATATAAACAAGGTTCCAACGGACAAAAATATCATTCCATTCATACAGCCCTACAGGCTCGTTTGTCTTCTGAAGTCACATAATTATGCCTATGCGACGACTGTGCCAGTAAGAAACTATTCTTCTGAACGTAGCTGATACATAGCCAGAGTCAACTACAGTCACCGCAGACCACATTGATACTGAAGAAC